TGGTTGGTGTTGAGCACTTCTGAAAACCCATCCGTTTCTTTAAATGCTGCCCCCACCCCCTGCCACTTGCCCTCCCACTCCTGCCTTCCTCTTACCCAGGTTCCTTCATGCTGATTCCTTCACCACTCCCTAGCTCAGCAAAGAGCCAGAGAGCAGGACAGGACCCAGCGCATAGCCAGGGAGCAGTGAAGGAATCAGCATGGAGCCAGGGAGCAGTGCAGGGTGCAATGCTGACTGCAGGTACTGTATTTTTACTTACTACTCGATTCTAAGATGAGGCTTCCTTTTCTCCAGGGGGGAGAACCTTGTCTTGGAATCAAGTAAATATGGTATAAATTGCTTAATCTGTTGCTAAAAACTCCTACAAAAGATCTGACTTGTTTCACCCTAGAGACGCAGAGGAAACCAAACTGGTGTATGGTTGTATGCGTCATAGTATAGAACAAACTGTCAGCCATTGGTGTTAAGCACAAATTGCACAGTAGGATTCTTCTGGTTTAATTCTGTGTGATGAAAACATGGAATCACACATCAGCACAGTGACTGCACATAGATTAACTGGGCAACCTACTGTTACTCCAAAATCAGTAGGCTTTGCAGACTAAACAAGGGAAATGTCTGTTTTACAACATGCCTGTTTCTGGAAACTGGGTACTTAACTAGACATTGTTGGGATGATATGTAGTGGTATCATCATTTATCCAAAAAGCCACAGTTTATAAGCCCGGTACAAAACCATAAATAATACTCTGAAAGCCTTCACTGAATTGTCATGCTGTCATTAGGGAGTCTGTATTCTAAGTCCCATGAAAATTCCATGATTCTATGATGTGGTAACGTTTTAAAGAACAGTATTCTTATCTTCATGTTTAATAACTGAGAACAAAATGACTATGCAGTAAGCATGTCAACTGAAAGAAATGACTTTGATATCTCCACTTTGAAAAACTTTTTTTATAATTAGACTCATAGTGTTCGTCCACCTATGTAGGCACGTGTGATTGCAGCAGCTCAAATAGCAGTGGCACAAATTTGTGCCAGAGATTTGTGCCTCAGCACAGGTGCCTAAACATGCACTTTGGTGTGGGGCAAATTGTGCCACTTGGGGCAAACTGACTCTGCCTAGCTCCTCCCAGATCTGCCGCCAGGTGGAGCTGAAGGCTGGGGCTAGCATCTGTGCTGGCCCCAGCAGTATTAAAAATTGTCTTGGCAAGCAGCTCAGAGCTACTTGCTCTCAGGAGCTTTTGAGGCCCAGCAAGTTGACATATGGGGACACTAGCCCCCTGTGCCAGCTGGACTGCTGCAGCAGCCCTGACCTAAAGTGGCCCTTCATTCTCTATCCACTGCAGCAGGGTCTGACAGTGGGGGCTGCTGCCTGGCTGTGACCTGCTGCCACCTGAGACCGCATCCGCCCCCTTGAACCTGCAGCCTCATATCTACATGCCTGCCAAACCTGGATGGGACTGCTTGGCTGCCTAGCTGTGGCATGAGTAGTGCAGCAGAGCCATCTGCACCTCTGGGCCAGCTGCCAGTGGGCTGTGACTGCACAGTTGGCCTTCATGTGGCACTGTCGCCATGTGTGCCCCCGCCCTGCCATCTTGGCAGCTATCACCTGGAAGATGTGCTCATTGTGGTGGCCCACTTTGAACTGTTAAAGCATGTCCTTTTAGCCCCAAATGGCCAGGAGATCAGCAACTTTGTTTACCCTCCAGCTGGGTTCCCAATGCTAGCCTTGGGCAGGCTCCTCTGCCTGGGTCCCACCACTTGCCTCACTAGCAGTAATCCTGGTGTTCCCTGTTTTAAAAATTGCAAATTCTGTCTTTAAAATACCCAAAATCCATGTTCTTCCACAATTAAACAAAAATGCCACTGTATATGAGAGAGAAAGAAATATCAGTTGAGCAATGTTTTATTGATATATTTACAATTTTAAAGCTATTTGGAAACCTTCCAGTGCCTCTATCTTCATAATAAAATACATTCTGAATATCTGTATGTTTTGGTGTTTGCTTTTGTTTTTTTCTCATAGAAAAATCAGAGCTTTCCCTGACCTCTTTACTAACCAGGATGTGGGGACAGCTGCCCCTGCAGTCGCAGCTCCTGCCAGCAGGTCCCATCCTGTCTGGCAGCTGGGCTCACAGGGTGTGAGATGTGGGAGGGATGTCGGGTTTGTAGGAGGGAGGGAGGAATTAGTGTGGGGAGTTGGGGTTCTTGGGTGTGTGATGGGTGGGTATAGAGGGGATGTGAGGTGTGTGGGGGTATAGGGTTTGTGGGTGGGTGTATGATATTTGTGGGTGGGGGATTTGAGGGGGGGGCTGCCATACACCCACCCCCTGCAGTGCACAGCCCCCAGTGCTGGTAGCAGCAGCCAGCTGGGCCATCAGGGCCATGGCCTGCTGCAGGCATAGCCCCACAGCGGCGCTGCACTGCCTGACCCAGGGTTGTCAAATGGTGAACGGATCTAGCCCAGACCAGACTGCCCTGCTAGCACACACCTTTGAGCAGGACCGGGATGGCTCAAGGCACGTGTTAGCAGGGTAGGCGTGTGTGGGGCGGTCCTCCCACAAAACCCACAACCCCCACCACACCCATTCGCACACCTCACACTCCCCCCACACCCACCCACACACCCCCAGAAACCACACAGTCCTCACCTCCACATCTCTAGTTACCTGGGACAGCACCTGGGTCCAGGTCCAGGTCACCACTGCAGCCTTGCCCCGCTCGTATATCCAGGTCACCACTGCAGCCCCACCCCACTCGTATGCTGGGGCAAATACGAGGCAGTGTGCTGGGGCAGCAGGGGCATGAGGCAGCCATAGAGATGCTCTATGCCAGAGCATATCTCTGGAGGACAGCCTCAGGTTACTTCAGGGCATACTCCAGGAGCCATTTTTTTTCACCATGGTTTTCTTTTCATGCTTCCTAGTATCAAATTTAGAGTCCGTGCTGCAAATATGCAGTGTGGGAAACCTTTTTTTGTTCTTAGCATGCCTCTTGCAGCATCTCAAACTGTTTTGAGATGCCATAACAGGCACATGCACACTCATCTGGACGTGCCCATAATGGGCAATCATGAGTCAAATAGGGTAAATTGTGCTATTCTGCATTTTAGATATGACTAAAATAAATTATAGGGTTATTGGTGTGTACAGGGTTATAAGCTCCTAGGGCTTTATATATTGGAAACAACTATAACAAATATGCATGTGTATTCTCACTGGACATTGTAAAATGTAGGCATGCTTTCAGTTCACTACAATCAGTGATTTATGGACGCACACAGGTCAGGAGTTTATTGTGCTGAATATAGCAGTTTTGTTTTAAAGGAAGTCTAAAGCATGTTGAACCCAAATGGATGAAACATTTTGTAAGTTACTGGCTTATAGTTTTCTTATTTAATAGAAAGTGAAATTAGAGGTAGTTGTAGAATAGCAATCCTTATAAGAATGCAGTAGCTTAGGCAATACCTTCCTTTTCCCTTCTTGGATTTGGATTTTGCTTCATGGCTCCTTAAGTCTGGGTGCTGGTATTTTGTGCAAGCTTGGAAAGACTACAGTACTACATCCTGTGATGAAACGCCCATATTGATTGTGACTGTTCAGGCTTTCACATCTTTTCCAAGTTCCAACAGGGTGCCTACATATCATTAAATTAAAACAATATAAACATGTTTAGAATGGTACAGCTTGCAAAAGTAAGGACTTAGTAGGGTATGTAAAACAGACATAAAGAGGAAACGGATCATAATTATATATTTCAGAGTTAAGAGGACACATTTCAGATTTAAGAGGACTTGTTTGTTAGGTTCATTTACACATTGAAAGATCCCCATGGCAAATGCAACTGGTCACCTTTCTTGTGGAAGTTTTCCAATTTGAAGTTTGGACAAGGTTTTGTTGGTGGGTTTTTTGTTTTGTTGTGGGTTTTTTTGACAGGGGAGTTATGAATTCAAAAGTAGCAGGTTTATAGAAAAACTCTCTTCTGAATGGGGTGAAGTAGAATTTAATGGAGTGGATTTTCCATCTAAAATATTACAGCTGTGGTAAAAAGTGTTAATCCTGTAGGCATGCTCAAGCATATAAAATCAAACCACATCCAGTTCAGCATGTTGTAATATGGAACAGTATCTGACTTGTCAGTAAAGATCATTGTTTTACAACTAGTAAACTTGTCATAAGCGTTCACATTTTGTTTTCTCTTTGGTGATTCCCCCGTCCCTCTTCCAGTGGAGGAAAACAACACAACTTCCCTTTAGGATTTTATTTGGCTAGCATAAAACTACATGATTTGTGACAGCTTCCATATTAATTCCAGCTTCGGTGACACCTACTAATAAGGCTAGAGTTGATCAACTCCAGGCCTTCTTTCCACAGAGTACAGCCAACAAGGTACTTATGACTAGAACATGTTGGTATTTTCAGACCGCTGGGAATTTGGTGAAATAAAGAAATATTAGTATAGTTAACATTTCTAATCATCATCAGAAAGAAAAAGTTGGCTTGAAGAGTAGAATGAGATTTCAGTGTGGTATTCTAAGAATAACAAAGCATGTTCAATTTAAAGTAGAACAGTAGGACTGATGCATTCCCTGTGTCTACTGTAGCAGTTTTCAGTATAAGCCCATTTTTACTTCTGTAACTCTGCTGACCAAAGCCATTAAAGGAAGTCTAAAGTGACTAATAGAAAAGCTTAAGACACTTTCCCAGTTCATGGGAAAATTATTTTTAATTCATCTGGGAAGACATGGAAAGTAGAAACAAAGCAAAAAGGCTCAATACTAGAAGTGAAACCCAATAGAACAAACACCAGCTGTATTCTTTGGGTATCTTCTCTTTAAAAGGTTAACATATTAACATACAATACAAAGTACAAGAAAGCAAATTTTTTTTTAGATATTATTGGTCACCTCATCTTTTTGAGGATTTTGTCATTTCAGGTTCTCGAACTCCAGCTCTTGCACTCAGGAAATCTGAACTGTGGTTTTGTTTGCTTTCTAGGATGGCACATGTGCTTCAGTTTGAGGACAGAAGCAGAAAAGTGAAAGATGCAAGTATGCAGGATGAAGACACTTTTGAAATCTATGATCCTCGGAATCCTGTAAATAAGAGGAGAAGAGAGGAAAGCAAAAAGATAATGAAAGAAAAAAAGGAAAGGAGATGAAATGAATGTAAAGCTGTCCAGAGCTGCCTTGGAAAATGACTGCAGTACAGGATTGGCTCTTTAGTAGCTGTAGTTCCTAAAAATATCACTCAACAAGTGTGAAAAGGAATTTCTCAAGAACCTAGTGTCTAATTCTGAAACAGCTTTCTTATTTGTTTTCTAAATTGTGCAGTGAAGTAAGCAAGTGATCTCTGTGCATTATGTAGGCTCTCCTCCTTTGACCATTTTTAGAATTATATGTTTAAGGTCTACAATTTAATTACTACACATTGATAACATGTGGATAATATGTATATATATATTGTAATGATAAGGTATATTTTGTTTGCTGTTTGCAACCATATTTACCAAAATAAAGAATTTTTCCCCATTCTTCAATTAGTCCTATGTACAGCCTTTTAAGATTGAAATGATAGAATTTAAATTTAAAATGACCCATTTTCTGATTAGGGAGCTTTTGATAGGCATATAAATATTTGAACATGATTAGTAATTCTTCAGTAACATTGTGCCACTCAGAAGATAATTTTATAAAATTTCAGACTTCCAGGACAAATTTTTAAAAGTTCCCAACTCTTTTTGAAAAAAACCCTCAAAATGTAACTTTACATTATAGTTGCATTTTCTTTGTCTTATGGTATATATCCAAAAATATTTGGAAAATAGAGTTAAAATACAGATTTGGGAATGTTATTTCACTAGACTTACAGAATTTTCAAAACTAAATTAAAATAGCAATTATTGAAGGGAGAGAAAGGGGGGAAAGGGCAATAATTGAAAACATGTACTTTTACTCCCAGAATGAGAACTGGTATTTCAAGTGTCCTGTATCTGGTTTCATTTTGATTACTGGTTTGTTTGTTTATGTTTGTTTATTAATATAAATATTAAAATACAGACATTGCAACCCAAATTTGAGTCTTACTATTAAAAATTTCACATATAAATGTTACAGCCTTATATATTCTCCAAGTTAATCAGTGTAACATCATCTGAAAGTGTCAGGGGAAGCTAAGAAGTTAAATAACCATTCATTGAACATAATTTCACAAAACTTAAAAGTTGTATAAACAGAAATCCAATCCAAAATTCCTGGCAATATTGTATTTCTGATTGTGCCAGCACACAAGTTAAACATACTCATAACAAACAGTTGAAAATTCAGCTAAGAGGGACACACTAGATCAAGGTCATTAAAAAGTGTGAGTAGACGAGTGTTTTCTTGATGTTGTTTTTAGAACAAGTTCAGTAAAGTATGGTGTCCTTATCAAACTGCCACTACCAACTTTCTTGATAGGGTCTGACGTGTGAGGTACATAAGCCTGTCTTGGTGTGTTAATATGGTCCAAATGGCAGAGGTTAGATTAATGCAGAATATCACTTAAATGTGCTGTGTAATCTCTGAGATAAAGGAAAAAAACCCTGGAGGTGTGAAATGAGTTTCTGTAACAGGCTGCTAATGTTCTCCTCTTGGTTTGAGTGAATTATATTGAATCATGGTTTTGAAGTGTTAAGAGGGCTATATTCTTAAATGTTGCCATTCACAAAAAAGTGAGTCAAAGTTCCTTGTTACAGAATCTGAAGCAGAATTAACATAAGGTTGGTTATTTTTGCTGGGTGTCTATTTCTTGCTAGAAAGCTGGGAACAGAATTCTGTCCATAGTCATCTACCTAAGTCACCATCACTTTATTATTTTCTTAGTAGAAAAGAGGTTTTAGAAAAATCATTCTTGAAAGTAATGTTATCAAATCCTTTCATTCCATTGGGAAAAAAATAGAATTACTGAGTCCAAAATTCAGATCCATCAATGTCCCAGTATACACACACTTGTTAGAACACTCACCTGAGTTATGGGCAGTGTTCCCTGTAAGCTGCACGGCGTGTGCAGCTGTGCAGGCATGTTAATGCCACGCTGCCAGGCGCACCTGCGTGGCCACGCACACCATGCAGCTTAGAGGGAACATTGGCTGGGTGATGAGGGTCTAGTTCTCTTCTCTGCCTAAAATTGAAAGCTGTATCTCTTACCTCCCAAGTTAATGTTCTAACCATTAAGTTATATAGTATTTTGGGGTGACTCTACACACTGGTGGTTAGTAAGAACACTTAGAAAAGAGGAGATATAGATTCCAGTCCTTGTTGTAATGCCTACTTAATAAATATAAAAAGCATAAATATTCATTGGAGCTGAGACCAGAACTCAGATCTCACTTTTTCCAGATAAGTCCTTTTAACCCAAGGATATACTGTCTTCTTGTTTACCATTCCTGTCTGTCCAAATGGTGTGTAGAATAGCTTCAGCATGATAGCACTCCCAACTCTAGATGACCTTTGAGTATGGTGGTTAGAATACTCATCTTGGATGAAGAACAAGCAGGGAAGGGTTAACCTGCCTGCCAGCTGCTGGTGCTGGGGCCACTGCTCTGTGAGAAGGGCTCAGCTTGAAGAAGAGTGAAGAGAGCTGGCAGGGGCCAGGCAGGCAAGTTAACCTTTCCCTGCCTGCTCCCCCAGGGCAGACAGCACACACAGCCACAGGTAAGTAGGGGTAAGAAAGTCTCCAGGGGCAGAGGGAGAGCCCAAAATGGGAGCAGGGGGGTTCTTAGCTTTCAGTCCTCTAGGCCCCTGATGGCCTGAAAGTGTGGCTGCTCAAAACATGAGCTAGCTCTCACACCATCAACATTTTTGCTACTCATTGTAATGTGCAACAAGGCCCTTAGATTTTAAAAGCCAAGTCTTGCTGCCTCTAATAACTAGTCAAGATAAAGTATAACTCTGAGCCTAGATTTTTAAGCTTTGTCCCGTTCAGCACATGAAAGTATGCATCATCTTCACTACAGTAGAATTTTAGAACATTTAAGCCTATGTCATACCTTTAAACTAGTTAAGTCTTAAAGGCCTCATTTCTGCAGAAGGATATCTGCAGATCCCTCTGTACTTGGGTTAGTGTCACTCAACACTGCACCTAGTAACATAGAACCATAGAACGTTAGGGTTGGAAGGGACCTCAGCAGGTCATCTAGTCCAACCCCCTGCTCAAAACAGGACCATCCCCAACTATATCATCCCAGCCAAAGCTTTGTCTAACTGGGTTTTGAAAACCTCCAAGGATGGAGCTTCTGCCACCTCTCTGGGTAACCTGTTCCAGTGTTTTACTACCCCCCTAGTGAGAAAATTCTTCCTACTATCTAACTTAAACTTCCCTTGCTACAACTTGAGACCGTTGTTCCTTGTTGTGTCATCTGCCACCACTGAAAACAGTCTAGCTCCATCCTCTTTCATCCTCCAGCTCTCTTCAGGTAGTTAGTCTACTCTAGACTAAATAAGCTTAGTTCCCTCAGCCTCTCCACATAAGTTATGTGCCCCAGCCCCCTCACCATTTTTGCTGCCCTCCACTGGGCTCTCTCCAACTTGTCCACATCCTTTCTGTAGTGGGAGACTCAAAACTGAACACAGTACTCAAGATGTGGCTAAATAGAGGGACTGAATAGAAGGGAATAATCACTTCCCTTGACCTGCTGGCAACACACCTACCAGTGCAGCTCAGTATGCCATTAGCCTTCTTGGCAACAAGGGCACACTGTTGGCTCATATTCAGCTTATTGTTTACTGTAACCCCCCAGGTCCTTTTCTGCAGAGCCGCTGTGCCCAGCCAGTCAGCCCTCAGCCTGTACTAATGCGTGGAATTGTTCTGTCCTAAGTGCAGGACTCTGCACTTGTCCTTGTTGAACCTCATGAAATTCCTTTTGGCCCAGTCCTCTAATTTGTCTAGGTCACTCTGAAATCGTAGCCCTACCCTCCAGCATACCTATTACTACCCCTAGCTTGGTGGCATCTGCAGACTGGCTGAGGATGCACTCTATGCCATCTTTGAGATCATTAATAAAGACATGGAACAAAACTAGCCCCATGACTGACCCCTGGGCCACTGCACTTAATACCGGCTGCCAATTAAACATAAAGCCATTGATTACTGCTCTCTGAGCCCAGTGCTCCAGTCAGTTTTCTATCCACCTTATAGTCCATTCATCCAGCCCATAATTCCTTAGCTTGCCTGCAGCAATGTTGTGGGAGACTATCAAAAGCCTTGCTAAAATCAAGGTGCACCGCATCCACTGGTCTCCCAATATCCACAGAGCCAGTAATAGAAGGCAATCAGGTCAGTCAGATATGACTTGCCCCTGGTGAATCCATGCTGACTATTCCTAATCACCTTTTTCTCCTCCAAGTGTTTACAAATGGATTCCTTAAGGATCTGCTCCATGATTTTTCCAGGCACTAAAGTGAGGCTGGGTGCTCTGTAGTTCCCTGGATCCTACTTTTTTCCCTTTCTTAAATATGGGCATTAGGGCTGTGCAAAACTTCAGTTGCTGATTCGATTTGGAGGAGATTCGGCCCAATTCAGCAGCCAAATCTCTGAATCCGTATTGAATCAGGAGACCAATAAAAAGGTCTGAATCAATTTGAAGCCTCCAAATCAATTTGAAAAGATTCGGAGGAGATTTGGGCAGTCCCTGCTTGCAACCACAGGGAGCTGGACCCGGGCTCCATGCCAGTAAGTAGGGGGTGGGGGGGCTGGAGAAGGGGGAGGAGACCATGGAGGGACACCTGCCAGTCCCCATCCCCTTCCTGCTCCCCCAGCCCCCCTGAACACCCTCTGATCCACGCCCAGTCTCCCAGCCCTGTCAGTGGCTGCCCTGCCCTTCCCCAGCATCCCAGCACTTTTTTTTTTTTAAGCCCCGCACTCACTGGCTGCTGTAGCAGCTGTCAGGGCCTCTGGGGGCTTGTGGCAGAGCCCCCAATGCAGCACAGGGCAGTGCAGGGGCAGCGGAGATTGCCTCCCCCAACCTGGCAGGATCTGGTGAATGTGGAGCTTTTGCTTTTTTTATTTTTTTGAAATTGCCAGGATGCTGGGGCTGGGCAGGGCAGCCATTGACGAGGCTGGGAGAGTGGGTGGCGGATGGGACCTGTTCAATTTGGCAAATTCAGCCAAATCAATTCAGGACAGTGATTCGAATCACTAAATCAAATCACTGTCCGCATAATCAGCCAAATCTGAACCTGAAATGAATACTAGCCACTTTGCACGGGTCTAATGGCACTATGTTTGTCCTTTTCCAATCATCCAGGACCTTTCCTGATCACCATGAGTTTTCAAAGATGATGGCCAAAATGGCTTTGGAATCACACTGGCCAACTCAGCACCCTTGGGTGCATCCCATCCGGCCCCATGGACTTGTATACATCCAGCTTTTCTAAGTAGTCCCTAACCTGTTCTTTCACCACTGAGGGCTGCTCACCTCCTTCCCAAACTGTGCTGCCCAGTGCAGTAGTCTGGGAGCTGAGCTTGCCTGTGAAGACTGAAGTAAAAAAAGGC